CTCGGTGTTGCTCCCGCACCTCGCTCAGCCAGTGAGCGGCCGGTCTGTATGTGGGATCCGAACCCTCGGCGGGAGCGCCGCCGCACTTCCCAAGCGGCACACTGTAGCAGTGCGCCACCGGGCCGGCCCAAGAGATAAAGAATTCTGAACCTAATGTAACATTTGTAAATTCAGCATATTCTCTGGGTTGCTTCACTTCTACCATCTTTAAAATAATAACATTTAGTAGCAATCATACAGTATGAAAATTAGGAAGTCCCAAGATTTCAATAATTAAGAAATACTTTTGATCACATCACTCAAAATTTTATGAATGTAAAAATTTTAAAGATTTTTGATGGCTAAGTGGGTATTATGAAGCCTAAAACTACGACTACTAGTAACCACAAAGAACAGCAAGACTATACACCACAAACATATGAATGATTAACTGCATATATACTTTGGTGAATAGACAATAATCATAATATTAATTTTAAAAAAAAATCACTTATTTTCCTCTAAGTGAAAATTCTTTGTAAAAGACAAAACTGTACTACAAATGGCCCAAGTAAGAATTGTTTTGTTTGATGTGGTCAAATTATACCCCAACTGAAGAATTATCTCAGTGTTTCCTGTTCAGATTACCATGAAATGACCGCACTGCAGAGAACTAGCCTATGACATAAACCAGAGAGATCATCACAAACTAACACATGAATAATCCCTAAACTATTTGGTGAAAGAAATTATAGCCCATTAGTATTAAAACCTAGGGAAAATATCTACCCCAGTGTCTTCCATAACCATATCCCAGAAAGGAAATAGAAAATTCATTCATAAAGCTTGTGACTTTTCTTAACAAAAAAATATTACCATAAATCCATAACCACATCTGCAGTTAAATATTAAGATATCTTGAAATATGCAATAATTAAATATAGAATAATGTGTGTTTGTTCTATCCATGACCTTGGGGTCACCGGGAGATTTCTAAAGCATACCTTTTAATCCACGCCATGGTACTTCAAGAACATGTTAAGGTAATTCACAGCTTGCAACACTTCGATGCACCTCAAAACACCTCAGCCAGTGTATCTGTCTCATTCTCCTTTCCTTTTGAGATCATAATGGTTCCGAAGAACTATATAGCTTCCATTTGAATGATAGTCTCATAATTTCAATGACTTAAAAACAAAAACAAAAAATAAGGACTTAAGTGTTGGTATGTTAAGCCACTAATACACTGTGTTAACTGTCGCCATGACTAAGAAAAACAAAGAAGCTGCTGCTACAACTATGTAATGTTATTTTTAACATGAACCTTCATATGAATGAAGAGCACAAGTTACTGGTCAGAGGGAGGGACAGCCCTTGCTTTCTTGAGATCTTTCTATTAACCCCACAAATCTCTATACCCCAATTGTTTCCTCAGTTTTCTTCTCAATGAATGAAAATAACCTAAAAGACAGATCTTAAGACTTGCTGGGTGCCAGGTCCACCTCTGAACAGCGACTATTTTATTCTGTGTTGAATGAGAACTGGAAATAACTTACATACCTCTATAAAAGGGAATTGGTTAAAAGACAAAGCAGGGATTCCTTCAAATGATGCTCTTCCTGGTGTTAACATTACTGAATCATTTTAATTCCATGGAAGTCACTACATTGAAAAGAACTCCAGGTTCTAAAGCTTACTACTACTGACAGCATGCATATAAATGAACAGACAGATTGCTGACCACCGAGTTTTACTGCCACCCTGTGACTGCCCTGGCACGTATCTATCCCTCTTCCCTCCTCACTCTACTCCACCTTTCAAAAACGATTTCATTTTAAAATGTTTCAGTAAGAAATACCTGTATAACATTTTAAATCTACTAAGAATTCACACTGCTTTTGTTGCAAGTTTGGCATTAAGCACTTAAAGAATACTTGAGGTATACAAAGAAAGTAAAACTCACAACTTATCAATACATATATACATTACTGTCATAAAGCAGTTAAAATTACTTTAGGATGACTGATTTGAAAAACTTTAATAAAGGGAAGAAACAAAAAGGACTTCCAAGAAAGTAGATGAGAAGGGTTCTGTTATGCTCTAGGCATGTGGAACAGTTCGTGTGAAGAATGGAAGATGACAGTTTCCCAGCTAGGGCTAAAAAGCATGTGCTTTTCTCTTCAGAGAAAGTGAAACTATTTCCTGTTTGAAATTGTAGATTCGACTGATGAAAATCTTTCAAGTCCTCCCTCATAAAAATTACTTATTTCTAAGATTTAGATTTATTGCAGGTTGTGGGAGTGCAGATTACAAAATGTAGGTCAAATTGTAGATTCGACTGATGAAAATCTTTCAAGTCCTCCCTCATAAAAATTACTTATTTCTACGATTTAGATTTATTGCAGGTTGTGGGAGTGCAGATTACAAAATGTAGGTCACTCTTCGGAAAACTGATAACATGTTGGCAGAATTATGTACAGGAAAGAACTGTACCAGAGTAGCTGAGAAGAGACTAATGAAGAACAGACTCAAGGGGCCTGGTCCAATGAAATCCCCACCTGCAGCCACAGCCATCTTCTTAAACTGATGACTTTACCACATTAGTGTAACACCTGGCCCCTCCCAGCCCTTGCTTAAAACGTGTGTGTGTGTGTGTGTGTGTGTGTACACACACACACAATCTCCTGGAAGGACATCACAGTGTTTCCTACACTCTGCTCCTCCAAATAAATGTACCTACACCGGCTACCAGGTTCAAGCTCCAGAAGTATAGCTCCTCTCTTGCACAGAAAGAACAATGTTAATCACTGGAAAATAAGTCAGGATAAATACACTAGATAATAAAGAATAAAAGCCTAGCTCTGAAGCACTTACTCATTACCATATTTAATTTTCAGAACCCCCCTGTAGAGAGGACAAAACCAAGACTGTGGTACAGTGACTGACCCAAGAAAACAAATGCAGTAAAATAAAAGAACTAGGACTTAAAAGCTAGACCTTGTAACTGGAATTTCAGCATTTTTTCCTACTACGACATTATTGTAGAACACTGTTCTGGGAGGTGAGTAGTACTGGTACTAACATTTGTTGACAATATGCCAAGTACCAACCTAGGCACTTGATGTTATTTTATTTCAACCTGACCTACCTCCTTTCACAGGTAAGGAGACTGAGGCTCAAAGAGATTTAAGTAAGTTGCTCAACATCACACATAAGAGACTAAAAGTGATAGGACATATATTTGATCTCACAATGTCCAAATCTAAAACCCACACTTGTACTGCTATACCAGTCTTTCTTCCAGAAGTAATCAGAAGACCAGTCTTTCTTCCAAAAATAATCAAAAAAAATTAAGTCCAACGCATAAGTTTATTTCTCAGTATGGCTACTGTAGCAATAATCTAATTATATAAATGCTTCTCACACAAAACCTAGTCAGCTTTATAACTCAAAACTATACAAACATTTTAAAGCTATGTTTTAGCTACAGAATAGACAAATTTACTAAAGCAACTAAGAAAGATAAGAATCATATTTAACCACGCAAATTAGAAATTTCATTTGAGTCCTACAAATGAAATCCAGTTTTCTCATAGAGTGATGTATTTCATGAAGTCATACACTTGACAATCTTTTAAGGTTGACTTAAATCATAATAATTATCAATATTAATTTTAGTTGACAAGACAAAAATGGCAAGGAAAGGTATTTTCCTTAGGACAGTGCACTACCAAATTTTCCCCATTTGTCCTATTCCATAATCTGCTACCAGTCTTATCCTCATGGGAAGAGAAATCACTTATTAGCTGAAGGAGGTGAAGTCATTCAGTCAGGTTATCAGTGATAATAAAGATAGAAAAGCAGATGGACAACTCTCTACAATGCTTCAAAACATGCTTAAAGAGTAACAAAAAACAGTGATAATAAAGATAGAAAAGCAGATGGACAACTCTCTACAATGCTTCAAAACATGCTTAAAGAGTAACAAAAAACAGTGATAATAAAGATAGAAAAGCAGGTGGACAACTCTCTACAATGCTTCAAAACATGCTTAAACTAAAGAGTAACAAAAAACAGTGATAATAAAGATAGAAAAGCAGATGGACAACTCTCTACAATGCTTCAAAACATGCTTAAACTAAAGAGTAACAAAAAACACAGACGAAAATCCCCCAAATTAAGGACAGGAAACTGCTACGCAACTCCAAAATTCAAATGGAAATCATGCACTCACATTGCATTCCAAAACTAACTACAGAAGTGATAAACTGTACTATTCCAATATTTGGTAACAAGTTAGAAAAATCAAATAGGAAACCATCTGACGCCATTTTTTAAAAATTGCTGAAACAATTTTGCAGAATTCTACATTTGAGGATTCAAAAACTGTCACAGTAAGAAACTTAAACGATCATTTAAAAAACATCTTCACTAATAACAGCATAACTCTTCTGTACAATTCATTGTAAAATCATTAATATCCAAATAGTGGATTATAATAGAAATGCCCATCAGAAATCCTGACACCCAACTATGTATCTTTTAACTGCAAAATTAATGTATATTAAAAACCATATGCAACTGTCTACAAAACATTTCACTTCATCTTGCTTCTTTTATAAAAGAGAAAGATACATTTCCATGCCATTTATTACAGCCTCCTTTACTAGTGCTGTGAAGTCCAAAAGTCATAACTTTTGTCTTTCATCTTTGTAAACCTATTTAACCACCAAAGCCTGGAACAAAGTAGGCACTAGTGATTGGTAAATATGTGAAAATGTTATACATCCATTTTGAATACATGATTTACAGCTAAAATAGAAAGTTCGTGATAGCAGGCTTGTCTGATGTGCTCTAAAACATAGTAGGCACACAAATATTTGCTGAATGAATGGAAGAAAACATTCAGGAATGGCTCTTCTAGGCAAGATAGGGAAAAATACACATTCGTTGTTAGATGATAAGAATCTAAAATGTTTTTTAGTATATCCAATTTTCACCTTTTTAAATTAACTTATTTTGGAGATTATGTCCACATTATATCAAAACTTATATTTGCAATTAACTTTGCATATATTCCTCAAAATACACTAAAAACATTCTGTGATAACAGTATCAAGGACAGCAAGACTTTAAAAAAACATAGTTTAAATTAACATACACATGACATTATTTTTTGACTACTGAATTTTGATTATTTTGTTTTATTTTTGACTACTGAATTGATAATACACATGTTTATGAAGGCACATGATCAGCCCTACTGCAAACTCCTGTTAAAGCATAAACTTCAGGAAAGTAATTAGAAACAGATGCCAATAACTTTAAACTTTTATGCTTTCATAAACAGTCTCACATAATAATCTGAAATGACAATAATAAATGTATTATGATGTTCACTGCAATACACTGCAATATTACTTACTAGTAAAGGCCTGGGTATTTCTTTCCAGCAACAGGAGAATGGTTAAATTATTGCACATTCATATGATGGAAACGGTCATTAAATAGTATAGACAATAATATGGTTAGCTAATTATACATAGTTAGTGTTTTCCTACATTACATATTTTTGTGTACATATATTTATATTTTTTAATCAGGATAGAAAATTATAAAGTTATAAATAAGTAAGTTCCATAAGATCAAGAACTATTTCCAGTGTGTACATTCCTGTACCTCCAACAACTTATCACAGTTCCTTGACACAGGTGTTAAGAGTGGCAGTAAAGCTTGGTGGTTATAAGAACAGACTCTAAGGAGAAGAATGTCTAGGTCTGATTCCCAAATCTACCACTTACTAGGTATGAGACCTCAGGCAAGTTAATTAACCTCTCAGTATCTCACTTACTTTCTCCTTCTGAAAAACTCAGATAAAAATAACATCCATATAATGGAAGAAAAAAATTACTACATTTTAAAGCATTTAGAACAGTATCTGGAACACAGCAATGACCCAACGAATGGGGAAGGCAGAGAGAGGAGGGAGGAAGCAGGTTCTCAAATACCTAAATGAATGGACTATTTTTAAAATACAAATTAAAATGTTAGTAAGCACACACAAACATTAAACAGGGTTTTCCACAACCCGCAACTCAAGATAGGTTTTGTGTTTGTGTAAATCGCAAACCAGTAAACATTTATGTAGATATAGGCTATTCTACTCTACATGAATTTTACTTAAAA